TTTTTTCACTAATTAAAATGCCAACCAGCATACATCTTTGGAAATAACCTGAAAAAGTTTTCCTACATAATAATATGGTAATATGAAAGATCTGCATCTAAATCTCTTTAAAGTGTTCACAACTTTCAGATTTTGTCTCTCAGTCTTTTAAATATGCTATTCCAGAGTTACCTGTAAGGATGTTGAAAGTTCAGGCTGCATTAAAACTTTCACTTTCTTTACAGTTTTCACTGCAGCTTTTATATGATCTAGATCCTACTTTTGCCTTCTAGAAATCTAACAGTGAACTGAACATTAACTCTAATTCAGAGTGGGAGTAAAAGAAGGAAAACAATTGTTGCCACCAAAATTATCCCGTATCACATATAGGGAGTCTCATATTGAGAACATTTCTGGATTACTGAATTAGGCACATTCTTCTGTAAAGTATATCCATATATTATTATTATTATTATTAACAACAAACACTGCTAAAGGGAATACACACAAGCAAAGGGCATATTGCAGATTGCAAACAGGCTAATGAAACAGAAAGACAAGCTGCGGAAAAACTGTTTGGAATATCACGTAGCTTTAAACAAGTGGATGACTCCCCTTACGAGATGGAATAAGATTCTATGAAACATTTTAATAGAAAAATTTTAAGTAATTAATTGTGTTAATTTTAGAGGACTGCAATGCGCAATTTTAGCGCACATCAAAGCAGTGTAACAGTTTGAACACATTGAAACACCTGAGGATGGCTATCTGTGGCCGAAACATGTTATGTTGGTGTTGAATGGTGAATGTTGTAATGATAGTTGCATTACTGATGGACTTAATACACAGACATTTGATGATAAAGAATTCATGTAGTTTTCTTCAGCTTCTGTACTGTAACAATGCTTCACCTACCATTCCATGTTCCTACATGTTATCAATACGAAGTTACATCATATCAGAAATCACAAGAATATTCATAAATGGTACACTTCGATTCACTTTGTTTGTATACTTGATAATAGTATAGTGAATACAAATTAAAACCTTCATATCAATAATGTTTCAGAAGATACAAGAAGTAATACTGGTACCTATTTGTTACATGAGTTAACATATACAGAAGAAAAGCTTTTTGACTTTTTAGTTGGTTATTAATGATGCTGTTTGACATTATTAAAGACGTATTCTTTGAATGAAAATTTTGGCAACTGTATAGTATCTTACCCAAACCCACATATTTATTTATTCTGAGAAAGTTTTGATGTGTGTTGTACAAGCAGTATTTATATTTCGCACATTTTATGAAATGTTAGGTACATAACATGCATTCACTTTCTGTATGTAACAGTGATTTTAGAATTCTAAACCCCTACCTCTGTCAAAGAAATAGATTTTACCTACAGCTCCTAAACCTAACACCATTCTAATTCACGTTGCTTGTCACTGATTCTTGGATTGTCTGGCGAAAATTGTATATACTGTTCGGCTTTTGTGAGCTTTTCATGTTTTATAAAGTGGTGTATACTGTATTTATACAGGATCAGTGATAGATCAGTCACTGACATGAAGGGTAATGAATTGAATGGGCAGAGTTCAATTTCAGGCAGGACCGCTGGAATTCTCACATTTTGAGTGTCCTTTGGACAGACTAGCTTTCTGGTCAGCAGTTATGGTGGAGCATTTTCTCATATGGTAAAGGCAGCTGTAACAGGTAGCTAATCAATCACTCACTTATATCTAGAGTTGAAGTAGGAATCTATGGAAATAAGGTTACATGCATGCTTTACCTCGGCATTTTAAGGTGAGAAACTAGTTTCACTCTCTGGCCATATATTCCCCATGAAAGGATTTACATAGGTTGATACCACTCTGCTTTATGTTTCAGAGGTATGTGACTGGAACTCTGGATGTGGATCCAACCATTCTAAAAGGCATTTTCCAGTTACAAGTTGCCTCATTTTGCAAGGTTTCATGTCTGAACTGTCTGTTTCCTCCCTCACTGTTTTAATTTAATTATCAATGTGAATAATATAAAGTAGACAAAAAAAGTAAAGTTATCCCTGTAACAGGCTGTGAAGGCCCATAGGGTTGTGAGACGTTAAGGGTCACACATTACCTTGCAGTCAGCTCAGAGATGGCGGTAAAGTTGTCAGCCTTACGCACCGGCCGTGCTTCACTCCCCAGGAAAATCATTTAATTAATTCCTGGTACTCATTTCTGTTAGAGTCTGAGTAAACCCCAGGGCATAGTGTGGCCGGAAGGATTCGGTCAATTGAAAAAATCCAGTAACCTCATTGGGACTTGAACACGCGACCTTCCGGCTTGTAGCATAGTACCTTAACCACTATGCTACCATGTACCCCCAATGTGAATAATATAAAAACATTAAAGTCCTCATAAAATTTTCTTCATTTCCAGATCTGTTAAACATATTTAGGAATACTCTCTTTTCAGTTTTTGTTCTTGCTCAGTAAGAGACCGAGTTTCACAGCTTTATAGACAGTGGGAAAAATTTTAATTTTCAGTTTTGAAAAGTATGTGGGGAAATATCAGGGTGTGTAATTATGTTTTTAAGGCTACTGCATAATAAACATTACTCCATTTGTGTCATGTAATGAAGTAATAACAACAACATATGTTTTAACTGTCCTCTTGCAGTCTTCATCAGAGTGCTGTTTCTATAAAAACTCAAATACTGTAAAAATATTAAACATTATTTAAATGACATTTACTAGGATAAGTGATGACTTAACAGTAAAATGATTTCTATTCTGACTGTGGAATTACTTGTATACATTTCTGTAACGTATTAAAATTTTAGTTTCCTGAGTAAAATCGTTTCAACCCTGACATATGGTTTTGTGAATGCTGGTACAGGTGACAGGTGTGCACACTTCAGTTGACATTTATCGTGTTTTATTCACAGGCCCAATCAGATCCAGCACACCTAGATAATGCAGTGTATGTTAAACAAGAGCCACTAAACAAGGTGAGCTTTCAGCAAGTTATTACATAGGTTTGAATAACAGAGAAAGACAGACAGAGCATTTACTTGTAGGGGTTAAATCAGATGCATACAGACAGAGAGAAAACTTCTGAAATTTGTACATATATATTGGCCTTATTAGTCATAGACACATTAGAAACTGATAAATGTTGAAACTTAATTGCTTATAATCTTACCCTAAGGTAGAATCATTGGAAATAGTAGTTGTGTGTGGATTGATTATCAGTATCATATGTGAATTTAATATATTTGGAAGTTGCAGTTTCCATTACCATATGTACTTTGTTTATGTTATTCCCTCTAGAGGGATCCAGAAATGCCATGAGTAAATTTCTTTCTTTTGTAATTAGCCATTATGTCAAGAAAGCATTAAAAATGTTTACAGTAGAATGGATGCGACTGTTTGGAACATGTTGAGGATAATTTACCAAGGATTTTAAAATTATTTATTCTTACTTTTTAGTAAATGGCCACTGAGTGGACTTTATGTTAATTTGGTAAGAATTTTTAATGTAATTTTCTTGGCAAATGCCTCAAATGAAGAATTTACATAATAAATGCGTATGTTAAACAAGTATCTGCAGTCCAATGATTTCATTTAGAAACACTTTTAGGTGTTTGGTATGCCATTGTTTTCAGTTTCCTTCCATCTCTAATTTAGGTTTCAAAGATAGAAATGTAAGCTTATGTGGATAATGGATTTTTACATAGGTAGGAGAAATTTTAATTTGTGTCTATGGTCAGTTCTGGTTGATAGAGGTTAGCTGTTTCTGCTAGGCACCTCAGAGTAGGTGTTTCCCATCCTTTCACATGAGGACAGAAACAGAACCAGCTTTTGAAATGCTGTGTTATTTAGAATAATGAAAGTCCGAAAACTCAGTAACCTCTTCTTGAAAATCTAACACTACTCACAGACCAAACCATTACAAGCAGGAATGTTAAATCTCTTACTGATAAAGTCAACTAAAGCATAATTTCATAATCTTTCTGTCATCAAGCTTTCCCGTTTTATGACTGGCATGAAATGAATTATATTTATATTATATACTAGCTGTACCCAGCCATGCGTTGCTGTGGCTCAGTCTAACAAAATATTTCAATTCAAACGCAGATCAGTCGACACAGCTCAATCCCACCACCAATTGCACTGATAAATAAGGAAAACAGTTAAGAAAACGAAATGAAAAACAATAAAAAATAAACTGTACTCACGAAATGAACACTATGGTAAACGACACAGCCCAATTCCAACACAATGTCACACGAAATAATTAAATCAAAATGAAAATAAATCGAAACTGTTTATATTCGGCGGTAGCTATCCCAAGACTGACTCCTTTGGCGGTTACTTCCAGACTCTCTTCTGTATCCCTCGGCATCTGCCCCAAGATTGATTGATTCTTGTCCAAGCTGGACTATTTATACCTCGGCAGATGCTATACAATGAGCCTTCTCTTGTCTATCACCGGGGAAACGCTGCCAGAGTGGAATCCAATACTCTGAGTNTTTATATAATTGGTTTGGGAGTGATGCATACTTGAATGTAAAGGGCAGGATGTGAAAGCATATTTCTCTGCTATAGTGTATGACTGGACAGTAACTGTATCTGTTTTTATTGTATGCATCCTATTGTGTGTCAATGTGTGGTATTCTTATATGGCCATCAACACAACAATCTCCAAATAAATAAACCAATATTACTGTATTAACATCTATTTATAATTCTGTGTTTGCTACATGTTTTGATCCAGCTGGATCAACATCAGGCAGTTTTCATAATAAATCTCTCGTTGCTGGATCGTGTCATAGTATGGATCCATATTAGTAATTGTGTTGATGTAAGTAACATTAACAATTTATGTGTCTCGTCATGTTACTAAACTCATGTAGTAATATTAGTCTTAAAGGTTAAAATGTTAAAACATTGTTATTCAGATCTCTATCACAATGTTAAAATGAACTGTTAATTATTAATTAGATTACTCTAGAATTAACTTTTAAGTAAAATGAAGGCCCATGATGATTTGTCATAGTGTGGAGGGTAGGTGGGTGTTTTGTATCTTGGGAGTTGGCGTTCAGTCCGTTACATATCTGAAAATAGAATAAAGGTGTCCTAATATAGTTTGGTTGTGAGTAATGTATAATCATATAGTATGGTATGCCGGTCACGGTAGCTGAGTGGTCTAAGGCATGCACTGTCTTCGCTCGCTCAGAAGCTGGGATCGTGGGTTCGAATCCCACTCATGGCATGGATGTTTGTGTGCATTTTTCTGTGTTTGTCTACAGGTAGAGGCCTTGCAACAAGCTGATCAATCACCCAAGGAGTCCTACTGAATGTGTAAGATCTAGTAAACCGAAGTGAAACGGAGAGTTTCATGGAGGTAGGCCTAGGCCCAAATTGGGGCGCTAGCGCCACAGGAAAAAAAAAATAGTATGGTATAGGTGATTACTTACACGTTATGTGGGTGGTTACGTTACTCTTGTGAAAGCGATACTAGAAGTTCTATATGTACATTCTCTTTATTCCTTTCTGTGATGTCATGACTAGCTGTGGTGGAATTATTCTGCAATGAGAGTGGGTATTTTTCAGTGTTTTCTATTGGTTGTCTTGTCTTACTCTAATATTTGTTCCACATTTAGTTCCTTTACTTACATGTTTTTGGTGTGTTTCATATGTTGTGTCTTGTGTGGAGATATCACTTCTTTCCACTCTTGGATATTGTGTCTGTTCCTGTTGTATGATTCTGTTAGGATGAACAGATGTTTAATGTCATAGTGAGTATGTTGTTTTGGTCATGTGATGTACAAGAGGGGGTATGTGTGGGGGCTTTATTTGGATACATGTTTTTATGGTGGGGATGTCTTATTACTTGATCAAATATAGGATTTAATACCAAAATATGCAAGCATAAAAACAAACACATAATAAAACACATGAAATCAAAATACAAAAGTTATGTATAAAGAATGAAATAAAATTTGGTATACCAAAAAACAAAATTTAAATAAGGGCCTTTACACCTTACATCTTCAAAATGCAAACAAATGGGGTATCCTACAGGACATAATAAACCAAAACATCTCAAAGAAAATGGACGATGAGGGGAAAATATAGAGCCATAAAAACAAAATAAAAAACTAAATAGGCATACAACCCCCACACAAACAAATAACAATCAAAAGGAAAATACTTTCTATAAACTAATGTTATCTTTATGGATGCGGAAATGCAACTCTTGAACAAAGGATTGAAATACAACCTACACTACAAACAAAAAGACTGTATAAAGACCCTAGCAATTGAAAGAGATGCAGCTATAAGCCAACTACCTGAAAGAGATAAAAAACATATAAAAGACTTTGGAACAGAGACAACAAACAACTAAATTAAAACTAGAATCCAAAGAATGTAAGTAAAGTAAGTAAAGCTACCCCTGTAAGAAGCCATGAAGGCCCATAGGGTTGTGAGATGTTGAGGATCCTGCATTATCTAGACGGTCGGCTCAAAGATGGTGGTAAGGTTGTCAGCCTTGCGTGCTGGGCCGCGCTTTACTCCCCAGGAAATTTTTTTAATTAATTCCTGGTACTCATTTCTGTTGGAGGCTGAGTCAACCCCAGGGCCATAGTGCGGTTGGAAGGATTAGATCAATTGAAAAAATTTCAATGACCTCATCAAATCTTATAATTAATATAAAGATGAAAATAAACCAAAATTAATTAATCATAACTAATGCTGATAAAGGTCACACCCTAGTCATATTACATGAAGATTATAATAACAAAATAGAATTCATAACACAGAACTTCACAAACAACAACAAAACATAAAGAATGTAGCACCAACAACAGTAAACAAAAACAGTAAATGTAATACATTGGCATGAACCTGAAAGCACCACCATAAAACCACATAAACAGCAAAAACAAATCTGCCCAATTGTCAACTGGAAAGACAGCCCCAGGTATAAATTAGCAAATTACATAACCACACAACTAACTTGCATATTACAACTATCCAATACCCATGACATCAAAAATTCTGTTAGCCTTATTCACAATCTCATAAGCATAGAAATAGACAAAAATGGAAAACTTTGCTCTTTCAATACTGAAAGCATGTACACCAATATACACGTAACAAAAGTAAAAAACAATGAAGGAAATTCTTGACAACAGTAACCACATACATGAAAATAAAAAAAACCTGAACCAACTCTTGAACACCATCTTGGTATAAAACTACTTATAATTTTTTTTTTCTTGGCACTACAGCCCCAGTGGGCCTAGGCCTACCTCCATGAACTTCTACGTTCACTGTGGTTTTTCTAGATCTTACACATTTGGTAGGACTCTTTGGGTGGGTGATCAGCTCGTCGCAAGGCCTCTACCTGTATACAAACACAGAAAAACGCACACAAACATCCATGCCCTGAGTGGGATTCGAACCCACGATCCCAGCTTCCAAGCAAGAGAAGACAGTGCATGCCTTAGACCGCTCGGCTACCNAAGCAAGAGAAGACAGTGCATGCCTTAAGACCGCTCGGCTACCGTGACCGGCCTACTTATAATTTAACGAGCAAAATGAAGGCCTAGCAATTGGAACTCCCCCTCAGCAACCTAAGCTGAAACATTCATACAATTCTTAGAACACACAAAAATCATCAAACTTTTAAACAAACATCAGGTTATTGACTACCACAGATAGGAATACGACATACCAATTATATACAGCACACACACCACAAACATATAAGACACATTGATGGAATTCAACTCAATACACCTACAAATAAGATTCACTGTCAAAGAAGAAACACAAGTAAACTAAATTATCTAGATTTAACCATCACAAACAAACACAACCAACTAACATTTGGTATATACTAGAAACCCATCACCACCAAACTAATTATACATAATTACTCATGTCATCCACATGAACACAAGCAATCCGCTACAAACCTAATTACTCAAATGGACAGGTACCCAGTTATCACGAAGACAAGGACCAAGAATTGCAAACCATACAAGAAATATAAAAAAA